TTTTTTGACAGCACTGCCCACTGTGGCACCACTGTGGGAAGTCTACCAGCCTTGTTACTACTTCTTGGGAAACGTGCAGCTTGAAGATCTCCCAGATTTTTTTCCTCCAGCTGTTATGAGCTGTCTTCCATGCTCTATTTTATTTTCTTTTGTATTTTTCTTTGCTTGTACTAATTGCCCAATTTGTAATGATTGGGTATGGCCTTCATCCCTTCCTCTCCCCTATATAAAGAGGCTTGGGAGAGCCATTTTTGGGTGTACCATCTTGGAGCAACTTGTGCTCAAAATATCATCTTTGGTACCAACTTGTAGATATTGCTCTCATATATATATAATTAGTAATTAATCCTTTTTAATTTTATGTCTTTACTGTATTGTCTTTAAATTTATGTATTTAATTTATGTCTTTAAATTCATGTATTTAATTTCTTGTCTTTAATTTTATGTCTTTAATTTCTTGCACTTATAATTTAGTTTTACATTAATGCAATTTATATTCCAGTATTACTTTATGTCTTTTATTATTTTTATTATGTCTAGCTAAATTACTCGTATGGGTGTGGGTGTGAGTTTAACTTATGATGTTTTTATAATATTTGGGTGTTTTTATCTTTTATYACTTCGTCACTTAGTCACTTAAAACGGCACTTAAAATGCGGATAAGCTGATCACTTTGACGTGTTAATATTAGATCTTAGACCCAGAGATGGGCGGATCCGAAATACGACTTAAGTGATGCACATTGAACTCGAGAGGGTCTTTGAATAATTACGTGGAGACGCGAATTTTGCATGCATTTAGCTAGGGGTTAAGCAATATGTATTTCCATCGCAAAGAGATTTGGGTGAAAATTTTCATTCCTTTTACTTTTTAGCTAAATAGGTAAGTTTCGAAGTGATAAATGTAAAAACTTTCTGGACTTTTATAAGGCCCGGTTATAAAAGTTCGTTTTCGAGAGATCGGAACTTTTATAAACAACTCGTAAAAGTTTAACCATTTTATTGTTGATTTTATTTTAAGCAACACATGCACCCATGCCCATCATTTAGTATTAAAAGTTTATCTCGTTAATTAGCTAGTCGGTCCTATTTCAGTCTTTTTATAAACAAAAATCAAAAGTTATTTTACATCTCGAAACTCGTGCAAGAAGCTCATGTTAAATCTCTAAATCTCTAAATCTCAATCATACCTTCTCTGTGGGAACGATCTCGGTACTTTGTACCACTTTATTACTTGCAAGCGATCATAGTGTCGGCGTATACTTGCACCGACATTGTGCGGACATTCTGCCCACTAGGAATACGCGAACGATCCTAACCTGTCAATAGTCATCTTGATTATTGATAAAGAGTTGGTACAATTTTCAATGTTTTGCTTTATGCCATGTGGTTGAGACACCCGTCATGGTAACAACGATGATACCTAATGTTTGGTGGTCCAGACAACTGTGCCCAGCGATAGCGACATGGGCACAATCGCTTGTCAATACCGCAGACGACCTGTAGTGCTTAAAATCAGGATTTTCTTCATTTGACCAAAAGTTTTTCACCTCCACTCCGATTTGGGCTATTCAAGTTGCTTTTGATTCGTATTTCGAAGCTCTTCAAGATGGAAACAATAAGGATTTTAGTTTCCTCAAAAGAGATGGAGTTCCTATAAGTCAAAAGATGAAGGTCCTTGCGATAGATGTTGTGGATATGAAGCTTTCACTAAAGGAAACTCAAGTTGTAGAGTAAAACCTAAATTTAGTCTAAATATAGCAATGTGAGTTTAAGTTATTTTGTGAAAACTATGTACATGTCAATCTGTGTATTTTTGAAGTATTGACGTGTTTTACTCGATATTTATCAAATGTGATGAATATTTGATAAAGTAACATATTTGGTAAATTTGGGTTAACAAATCTTATATATATATATATATATATATATATATATATATATATGTATATATAGGGTTGAGTTCAAATAAAAACCACTCAATTTGTAAAAACCGTGAAAATCTCATTCAACCAATCATAATTTTCCATTTTGTTCATTTTTTTTGTAATTATGAGAGGTTGATTAACCATTTTTATTGTGCAGGGTGTTAATCATGGATATTATCATCTTAATTATTTTAATTTTAGAAAAATACATGAAACGGTTTCATTAAAATTTCATTAAGTAGTATATTAAAATTTCATAACCACATATGAAACAACTTCATCAAAAAAAGTATTATATGAAAAAATTTCACAAGATTAACAATTTCATGAAAAAATTTCATAAGATTAACGATGGATGAGAGTAGTTTTTACGGTTTTTACAAATTGAAATGATTTTCATTTGATCGCTTCTCTCTCTCTCTCTCTCTCTATATATATATATATATATATATATATTGGTGGGGTGGGGGGGGGGGGTTGGACATTTTGATAAAGAAGGCAAAATAATGAGTTATTTTGATAATTTATTTGTACTTATTTGATATCAATGCATTTTGGTGTATTTGGTTTACCTTTTTTTCTATTTCAAAGAGGAAAAAAAAGGGTTCTATGGGCCGTGTTATTGTTTTAACAGGCTCGGCCCAGCAAGTGATGAAACTGAAAGGCAATTTACAAATTGGCTTAATTTGATTTTAGGGTTCTTAATACTACTCTGAAGGACCAGAAGAGGCGGAGCGTCGTCCATCGGAGTAATCCATCTCAGGTACGTACTCAATAACAGTAATTCAAAAACATCATGGTTATGGTGATCGTAAGTTTCTGTTTGGTTAGTCGCATTATCGTTTGTTAAAAAGTACCGTAGATTGATAGGGAGAATCGAAGTTTGGCTCGTACACCATGGTGATCCTGTGGTATTATCCGTTTCATTTCCTATAAAATGAACCTATTGTTCATCAATTCGTGTTAAATGTTACTTGAAATTATCATATAGAGGTCTAATTATCAACTGTCTAGAAATTAGAAGCAATTAGAGCATAGCAGGAATTTGAAAATAAAATTAGGGATCTGAAACCTAAGATTTCTCCAACAGATATGATTAATTATAGTTATACCTTTGTTCTTTGGTCATTCGCCATGGTTTTTTTGCATATTGAGAAGTACCTTCATCTCAGGAGGTTCGCAATTTTGAAAGTTTGTGATGAATTGTGATTTTAGTGGTAGACATTGTTGCATTGCTGATAAATTCATTGGGATATAATGATTTGGTTACATTTTGCTATAAATTCGCATCACATCAGTGAATTTAATTTTTTAATTGATGTTTTTATATAAATGCCTATATTTTTTTAAAATATATAATATTTATATACATTAAATAGAACAAATAAACTCACACACCCTCCCCACCTGGTAACTTTTACATTTTTATAGCATTTCTGGTAACTTTTACATTTTTATAGCATTTCAGGTATCAGCATCAGAGAAGGAACTTGATCGAAATCGAACCATGGTAAACCATGTTTCCTTCTATTACTTAATGAGTTTATGCTTTTCATTTGTGAATAATTTGATGTAATTTTTCTGGGTTCTGATGTGATAAATTCGGCAGTCGCTTGTGGCAAATGAAGACTTTCAGCACATTCTTCGTGTACAGAACACAAATGTCGACGGAAAGCAAAAGATCATGTTTGCCATGACCTCCATCAAAGGTATCGGTCGTCGTTTTGCCAATATCGTTTGCAAGAAAGCCGATGTTGACATGAACAAGAGGTAATTTGCTTTGCTTTGATAGCTAGTGATATCTTTAAACTGTAAACATTGTTGATTATGGTTAGATTAAGGGGTGGTTTACCAAACGCTAACCCAGTAAGTACTGGTCGGATCACTTTACCTTATCAAATGGACATGACAATGATTGAGAATCTTGCCCTTGCCCTTGCTTTGTAAAAGCGATAATAAAGACCGAAAGTCTTACCCAGTAACTGAGAGAAATGACTAAGCACCGAATAAATAATGTTCCATACAATGCCCTTTAAAATATATTAGTTTTACTTGAAATGGAAGTGATTAGCATTATTGATAATTTAGATAAACAGCCAGTATGGGGCTGTTTAGGCTGTTCACTTAGCACTTAACGGTAATTGCTTACCGAGTCAAACTTTCATTTCTTACTGGACAAGATTTTAATCTATTAAAAAACATCTTTTTATTTGGTCAAGGCTTACAGGGTAAAAGTTGTTACTCACACTTAACGGGTATGGTTAGGGCTTACCGGGTAAGAGTTGTCACTCACACTTAACGGATAGGTTTTTGTCATCGCTCTTGTCGGGTTAGATTTTCAATCTTTGTCATGTCCATCTGATACGGTAAAGTGACCTGCAGCACTTACCGGACAAGTGTTTAGTAAAACGTCCCTAAACATGTCTAAAAGTATGTGACCATTAGTTTTACCCCCCTTGACGCAGGGCTGGTGAGCTCTCTAATGCTGAAATCGACAACTTAATGACCATCGTTGCTAATCCTCGCCAGTTCAAAATCCCAGACTGGTTTCTTAACAGAAAGAAGGATTACAAGGACGGGAAGTACTCCCAGGTAACCTCCAACGCCCTCGATATGAAGCTGAGAGATGATTTGGAGCGCCTCAAGAAAATCAGGTCTACTTTTTACTCGAATATCTTACATCTTTTTTAATGATTACGAACTGGCTTTCTACATAAGGATTTCACTTCTTTTATTTTGCCGAAAACGCTGTAAATTTCCTTAACGAAACGGGAATCGTGGAGCCTTTCTGCATCTTTAATCTTGAATCATCTTCAGGAACCACCGTGGGCTTCGTCATTACTGGGGTCTCCGAGTTCGTGGGCAACACACCAAGACCACCGGTCGCCGTGGAAAGACCGTTGGTGTGTCCAAGAAACGATAAACGAATGGTTATGAGTTACCCTTTTCGCATGTTCTTGGGATTTTATATCTCTACAAATCGAGGTTCGCAGTAGAATTGGTGAGTTTTTTTCGTCGAAATCCCTACAACTTGAAAAGATTGTTCTATTTTTTCGCAAAGAGGAATTAAATATATTTGGATCTTATTTTTGGCAAGTTTATTTGTGATCGTAAGACCATATGATAGTATCTGCTACATGGTGTACAGACTGCATAACTAGCTGCTAAACAGTAACCGAAACATAACCATATTTCATTTCTCCTGGTTCAGCCTGGCTGCGGCCGCCATCGATGCGGCCACGCCACCTGGGTAAGTAGCCAGCTCCGGCTGGTTTCTGATCTCCGCACCTATCACCCCTTCTGCATCCTCCCTCGTCACCGGTTTGTCTTTTGGCAGCAACTTACTCGCATCCTGCTTGCATATTTCACCCATATTACAAACACGTCTATAGACTCGGGATCATATGTAAAAATTGAGACCACATAAATAACATTGAAACTTCACAAAACATGGTGTTTCATCGTGAAGGTTCAATGATTTTTTACTACAAGGTTCTGGTGTGAAGCTTCGGTTTTATTTCGTAGTCTCACGTAGTCGGTTATTATAAGAAAAACGAGAAGGAAAAAGTCGAAAGTAAATCTTCATTTGTGAATTATTAAAAAAATCTATTTCGAGATGACATATATCGAGAATATTCGCATGTGAATAACTTCAAATCTATTTTGATCGATAATAAGAAAAGCTCTATTGAATATTCATATATGAATCATTGAAAACCTATTTTGAGATGCTTATGTGAAGCAAGTCGTATGGGTATGGTAAAACTTCAAAGCAAGAATCAGAAGTGATCAATAACACTTACCGTCAACACATCTCCTAGCTTTGTTTTCTTCTCTTCGCTCATCGTTCTAGCGTTCTGGGATGCCGCCGCCTGAGCCTTGGCGGCTATACCGCCAGGTGTCACTTGCATACGACCGGTTGCACGGATTTCTGCCGCTTGTATCGCGGCGGCATCGCTCTGTTCTACCGGTTTCTCTCCGGCAGATAGGGCACTAGCTTCCAATGCCTCTCCAATCGTAACCTGTAGATCACCGCTGGTTTTTGCCGGAGCCGGAGACGCCGTCGTGTTGGTTCGCACATACTGCCCCACCACCTGTCGGAATTCCAACACAGGTTAATTACTGGAAATATAATCAGTTACAAATACAAATTAGCGGTTAAGTTCTATTTGTTGCCTCTCCGCCGACCGACTCGGTGATGATGTGATGACCGGCAACTTCCGCGTCGGAGACGGTGACACCCTGGTCTTTGGTGGCGCTAGTGACGTCATGATGGCCAACGACGCCACGGTTTTCGTTTACGGTGGCTGCTGACTGCATGACGGCAGCAGGTCCGCCTCTCTGGGTTCGACCGAGTGCCCTGGTCTCGGCGGCCTGCAGGGCGGCGGCATCTTGTGGGGTGATGGGTTTGTTGGCCAAGTCGCCGGAGACTTTGAAAACGTCACCGTATTTGATGGCTTCCTCCTCTTCAGCTTGTGGTCGTCGTGGTTGTCCTTGACTCATTTTCGTCGTTAAATTATGAAACAAGAAAACGGATACCGACGTGGCGTCGTTAAGACGGGCTTAATGGGTATATATATATATATATATATATATATATATATATATATATTAAGTTTTGGGTTCTTTTTGGGAAATGGTGTGGCAAGGAATTGACACGTGAAGGATGAGAAGGATAGGAACCGGTAATGAGAGATTGCCACGCAAGACTAGCGATTAATACGTGTCAATAATTGAATAGACGTGGTGTGTTATGTGCATCCTTACAAATGACACTTGTCACTAACCCAAATTATGTTCCCCTAAAAGTTGGAGTAAGTTATGGATTTTTGTAAATCGTGTTTTTTAAAACGGGTTATTTATTTTAGGTTAGAGTGGTGTATCCTGGAAATTAATTGGGTGGGAATATGCTGAATAGGACGTGGGAAGGCAAACATATGGTCATATGGGACTGAGAGGAAACCATATAAAATAAAGTTAAAAATAAAAAAATTAATCTAGTCAACAAACGTTTTTGGTATTTGATTGAGGGACTTATCTTTCAGTCCTTAAGTGATGTATCCCCCCCTAGGTTAAGGTTTCGAAAAAATGGAAGTTAGTGGGAGAAAGATAAGGAAGGGTCTCCATCTTTAAATCAATCATAATTAAATATTAACACCAATTTGATGTATCGAGATGCATCTGATTAATACTTGTGATAATTATAATTCATAAATAAGTGTGATATTAAATGTGATCAAGGGTTTATATCATTTCTTCCGGTTTTTACTTCAACTCTTATCAAGGGTGCACATTTTATACCCCAAAAATATTTACTTAAAAACATGGGTTGAGTGGGTATTTCGGATCAACTTGTGTGCACCTCAACTAATTTCAAGAGACTTGGAGAACAACCATGAGAACTCCAATTGCTTTACAAAACTCGAGCCCCACAAAGTTCTTAGACATGAAAGTATGAAAGTAATATTTTTCTGTTAAGAAATTGCATTTTCAAACATATCATAAGGTCATAGTTTTACAAAGAAATACTTCGTCAATGGGCAAAATAGTCATTTTATAGGTAAAAATTAAAAATCGTAAATATCCCTTCTAATAATCGACATATTTGTCAACAAAGCGGTTATTAAATTTTAATGATCGGTTTTTTGTATTTATAATTCTATTGCCTACAATTAAAGTGTTACTTCGTTATCATAAAATAAGTGTTCTCAATTGAAGTGATACGTAGTTTTAGACATGCATAATTATTACAATTTTCTGTTAACGAAATTATATTATCATGCTTATTTCATTTCTCTTTTTCACACCTCTTAAATATCTATGCATTAATTACGGGTAAATTTAAGAATTTGTTTATTACTTTTAAAAGTAGACACTTATTTTAGGACCGAATAAATATTAAAGAAGTCCGACATCCAAATGTACATTTCGTTACCCCCTCTTTAATCCCATCTTTTATATAACCATAAAAGTGGTGTCTGATTGGTTTGAGCTTGAGCTCCAAAAGTTAAAAGTGTCTTGAGGTCTCAGTTTCAAATCCAAGTAGGAACAAAAATACTCTTGTGGTCACAGAGGCTCAAATGCGGTGACTCCGGGCTACCCGTAAAGCAGGTTGTAACCCTGGAATTAGTTGGCTCGTATAGCGAGTTGGATAACTAGGTTAATAAAAAAAATCATTTGTCTCTAAACTTCAAAATCTCGTTATTTCATAAATCTAACGCTTGACATATCATCAACATACATTTGTTTAATTCAAATTTATAATATTCATGTTTAATAGACTGATATATTATGCTCAAAATTAGGGTCTAAAGGTCATATATCTGATAAATGGATAACGATCCCAATGTATTCTATTAAAAAACAGGGTTTGAAGGTGGAATACAAGCAAACAAATCCAATATATTCTATTCGAAAGCACGTCTGAAGACATTCAACCAATATATTTCACTCGAAAATAGGGCAATTCTTGCAAATACATTTTTCTTTCACATATATAACAAAAGGGAAAATAAGAACCACAAGGGTGGTGCCTGATTGGTTGAGCTTGACTCCAAAGGTCAAAAGTATCAGGAGGTCCCAGGTTCAAATCCAAGAAGGAATAAAAATCCCCTTGTGGCCACGGAGGTTCAAATGCGGTGACTCCGGACTATTTGCAAAACAGGTGGTCGTCATGAGATTAGTCGACTTGCATAGCGGGTTGGATATCCAGGTTAATAAAAAAAGGGGGAGGGGAATAAGAGTACAACTTGGCTCAACGAAGTTTTCCATGTTTTGCAGTAACCCCTGTGACTACTTCGTCGGTATGAAAAAGTTCTTATTATTAATTGAGTGCCCAGTTTTTCAATAGATTGACCTGCAATAATACCTACAGCTTCTCCCAATTGGACCAGGTCGTCATGAGCTGAAGGATTTTTTTTGTCTACCTTATTTTCTTCATTTTTCTTTATATCAATAATTCCACAATCAAACGCTAAAAAATACATTTCTAAGCGATAATGTAATTGAGAAATTTTAGGGTTTAGCCAGGTTTACAACTTCAGCCAATATTGTTGTGAATTCGTTTCACTTGGTGCAATAAAAAATCATTTTTAGCACTCAAACGTGTAGATCAGTTGGTAGAGAGACAAAGCAACTTTGCTCAGAAAACAATAGCTTCAAGTTCGAATCCTGCAGGAGATGAGCTTGCTTGAACCCACTAGTCTTAGCAGTTGAGTCGGCTCTAAAATGTTTGCTCACATGTAGAGATGGAAAAAAAAAGCCGAAACCGAGGGTGAAAACCAAAAACCAAAACTTTTGGGTCGGGTTTGGGGACATCTTATCGGGACGGGAGCGGGGACATTGATCACCCCCCCTGGTATGTGTGTATATATTAATATATATATATATATATATATATATATATATATATAT